AACTATATTTGACAAAAATAAATGTTTAAAAAAAATGAATCAAAAAGGCTGAGTGTGTGTGGAGACAGTCAGCCTTTTTTTTTTTTACGAAGGCATCAGAACAAAGCCAAATAAATATTGACACGGCAGTTAAGAGGCCACAGGTAGAGTCACAGAGAGTCCTTGAACAGGTTGGCAGCAGGAAGCCCTCCTAACTCTGGCAGACACAGCAAACGTGGATGCCACTTGAACTGATGCCTGAGGCAGTGAGTCCACATAGAGGCGATATGGCACAGCTAGGAGAAAAGTCCAACTAGACCCACTGAGTCCCTGGGAGTAGTTTGCAGCAAATGTTATTCCTCGATATCAGACACCGACACTCAGGAAACATCTGTGGAGGACAAACGGTGATAAGAGCATGAGGACACTTCAAATATGAAGACTTTTCGGTTAAAAAGGACAGGACTTCTGATTTCTTTGGCAGATTCAGTCCACCACTGACTGTTTCTGTACCTGTAATGGATACACCTGAGTGAAGAGTGTTTCTTTAAAATTAACTAGACATTTGTTTCTGTAAATGTTGGATTTTTGTCTTTTATTTTTAGCTATTATCCTCGTGAATGTGGAGGGGGGGCACGCAACAGAGTAAACTGCTCTTATTTGTCCAGCCTGTATAAATAAAGGTTGAATTAATGGCTTTTAGAAGCCTGTTCTGCTGAACACAGAGCCGTAAAGCTTGAAATAATATTTTCAAAGTGGCACATAAACATTTTCACAAATCACCACCGCTCATATTTGTTCTAGCATGGTTCAACATTTTAGGTGGTTTTATAACTGACTATAAGCACTAAGTGAAACGCTGAGCCCAAAATAAGATTTTCATTACGCTGTCCTGACTCAGCAGCTTAACTTGGACACGCTAGCATAAGCTGATTGTGGGGCATTATGACAGTGACTGGGGAAATTGAAAACGCTGCATTCTCGCAGTGTGCTGCAGAAAGTACTGTCACCTTAGACTCCCTCTTTTGCACGGTTACTTTACACTTTATCACTACTGCTATCTGTGGAGGTTTGACAGCAAGCTACAGTCCACTGCCGAAACGTGAACAGCTAAAAGGTCTCTCTTCAAATGTCCAGTTTTTATACGTTTGGATTTTAATTTAAACTGGTGCTTTAAATTTAATCTCTATTCTTAAACGTCTGTATTTAAAAAAAGGAACATTTTGTCTCAGGGTTTTAATCAGCCGATACTATGAAGATATGGATATTTATACATTCATTATTAAAAACGTGACAAACTCACAGAGGCAAGTTTGGTAGAGTCCATTAATAAACTACAAGTGTTTAGCAATAAAAGAATAAATACTCACAACTAGCAGGCTGCTCTCCGAACCGTCGCATCAGCTGATCGTGCGTGAACTTGACGAAGGCGTCATATTGCTCTGTTGGAAGAATACATATTTATTACTCCCATTACAGATTACTCACTACAAACTGTTTTCTATACCATTAAATAAATAATCATACCTGCAAGCTTTGTCGTCAGTATCTCATCGTACTCCTCGCGGATTTTGTCCTCTCGCTCTTTCAGTAGTCTTTCACAAATCATCCCAACCTGTCTGAGGGAGAATAAAGGCTGCTCTTTCCTGGTGGGTGATGAGGCACCTGAGGACGTACCTGTTAGGAGAGTTAATATCACACAGTTAATAAAGGATAGATGACAGACACTTAACAGCTCTGCAACTTTGTTAAGTCTTAAGATAAGAGATAAGATGATAGTTCCTTTATTGATCCCCTTTAGGAGAAATTCAAAATTGACACAGAAGCACAGAAGAGTAGAGAAGTGGAGGTACAACAAGATATCACAAAATATAATGTTACAAAATATAATAGAAAGTATAAGACTATGAAGTATATAAACTTTGCAATATTCAAGTAAGAACGGTGTGCAAATATTTGAGCGTGTGTGTTACAATACATATTGTATATATATATATAGCAACATACATTAGGCCCATTTTACTTTTTCACAGAGTCGGTTTGACTACAGAAAATAAAAACTCCCTATTAAAAGAAAGTGAAACGATAAGGAGGGATTTCCATCTGTTTCTCTCTGCATGTTTACTAATCCGATGGGATTTGTTGGCAATTCAAAAAGACAAAAAACAATCTTTACTTGTTGATTGAGTGGATGGATAAACGGTTACTTGGTGTGCCCCCAAGAGAAAACTGCTAACAAGAAGTCAATGTCAGACTGAAATATAATCCATTGTTGGGTTCGAATATCACGCGATAACCTTCGATCAGTGAAACAATGATTGGTGGAAACCACAATCCTAAAGCTCCTAATCTCTGAGCTCAAATAGCTGGTTAATGGATGTATGCAAACTGGTCAATATCCCCGTTGAGACGTGGCCGCTGGTCCGCTACCTGGGAGAGCAGATCCACTGTGAATGTTGTGCAGCTCGAGAGGACAGCAGCCATCTGCCTGCTGGTAGGCACTGTCCAGGTGTCGTCGCTTCTGCAGCCGCTTGTACTCCTGTTTGATGTTGTGTAGAATTTGCTCTGAAACAGGAAAAAAAAAACAACAACATTTGCTCCATTAGTGACATCTTGACACGTTTGATCATTTCTTCCGGATGCATATTGATTTTAAAACAAAGAAAAGGGACAGTTATCACTCTAAAATTCAGTGTACGTGAAATACTGGAAGCAGCACAACATCTATTAATTACACAGCAGCAAAACAAACTTTAGATGAATGTTTTTCACATAATTCACCTCCCCAAACCCCTGAAAATCCATTATTTGAGAAAAATACTGCTAAACAGTGTATGCCGAATTTAAAACTGGACCCTTAGAAGTCACATCACATCATCTGCACTGTGTGACAACCGACAGGCAACATAAACAAGAACAGCACTCATTTAACTGAGCAAACAGCGTCTGGGGTTTTGTTCAACCCACACCGGCACACATTGGGGAAACACCCTCCGGGTTACAGTGAGGGCTGGTTTTAACCGAGCTAAACTTTAGATTTACGTCCGGGTACAACACCTGTGTTTACATTCCTACCTGTGGTGAGTCTGGACGACACTTCTCCGAAAGGTGACGGCTCCATGCGCAAATATTTCTGTGGTGAGGAGACTGGAGACATGATCGGGGCGCACCTCCTTCTTTTGGGGGACGCCGGATTCATTAGCGGATCAAAGTCCAGGGTCCTTTTCAGAGTAGCTCCACAAGCCATCACGCTAAACTGTATTTTTTTTTTTAAAACCTGCAGTAGAAAACCTAAAGCTCGCTGTTGTGTTGGGGGACGTCGCCGACCTGGGCCCCGGTCTGCCGCTGGCTCACGTTAGCTAGCTACAACGCCAACAGCGGTTCCGGGGACGTCGCACAAACACGAACTTATTTTCGTCTGTCGTTGCTTTCTGCTGATAAATCTCGTGGAGTTTAAGTCACCGAGTATATCTCGAAGTAATCCGGATAAAGAATCTGGCGGTATGTTTGGTATAAAATGAGATGATCGCAGATTTCGCGGCACTAGTTCCGAGTACTAACTCCAACGGCTCGAAACACTAGCTTACCTTTTTTTCCCCATTCTATTTGATCAGTTAGGCGCATGCGCAAAACCCCGCCTCATGCCGGTACTTGTAGTTTTTATTCCACATCGCGGCTATTAGTTTAGTAGCTTAAATACTACATTTCCCGAAAACCTTGAAATTCTGCTTTTTTTCAAATTTGTTTTGTTTGCTAACAAAAAAAAAAAAACCAAAACCACAGCGAAGTTTCAGTTTCACATAAAACGTTAATATAACGTTAATAAGAATACAACGTGATAGTTTCACCAAGAGACATGTCATAAAAACACAAAAACATTAATAAAAACACATCTCACAATACACAGGTAGCTTACAGTTGACACACTACTTTCATTTATTACCTTCTATTAGCAAGAGTTACTAATACAAATGAATCTATGGAAGAAATAATGTAATAATACTTTTAATTAAAGTTAGGTCTGTTGAATTAGTGGCTTAATAACTGTCCGGGGATCATGTTCAGCTCTTAAGAAGAAAAAAACTAATTATTAAAATACTATTGTTTAAACTATAAATATTTCTGCTGTGGTCTGATTAAGCAGCCTATGATGATTTAGTATTGATCAAAATAAAATACTAAATAGACATGTACTTTTCAATGTTTACTCTCTTATTTGAGACAACTCCCCAACCCTTACACACACACACACACACACACACATTTCCCTCCCATCACTTCCTTAAGTAATGCTGTCATACTTTGAGATATATACGTATGTGTATTTTCATTATGGATTATTCTGCCAGTTGTTTTTAATTATTTATTTGGTATATGAAATATCAGGAAATTGATAATAAATACCTATCAAGGCTCCAGGTGATGTTTACCAAAGAAACACACAAAGAAAACAAGCTCACAGTTCTGGTACTGTTTGGTAATTAGTTGCTGTTTACTATTCTGTGAATCAATTTATTGACAAACCTTATTGGCTCTTGTCTAATTATTCATTTATTCATGTATGTATGTGCTTTATTTAATCCCAAAATGCAGCTTTTTGTCACACACAGTAAACCCACCCTCATTGCTTTTTGTATTTGTTACAAACTCCTGTTGACACCTGTGCGAACAGATGTTACAGTTCTTTCATCCCTCCAAAGCCAAGAGCTGGAAAGAACGAGGGCAGATGTTGGAGTCAGACGATGCTGCTGAAGCCATTTTCTTTCAGTTTGTCACTTTCAGCGTTTAGGAGAAGTAAGCAGTGGAATACTTAACAAAGCTCAGATCAATGTGTAGAAACGTCTTCAGAGAGGCTGCCTGTATTGACAATGTTGTTGTCTTCCACAAGGGGGCACTAAAACCTCACCGATGGCTTTGGGTGTCAGCTCAGGGCTTTGGGCTTCCTCTTGAATCTGTTGGATGAATTAAGCTAAATGTGCTGTTTCCCATCATTTTAAATAATCGATCAAATAACTGCAGGCGAAATGACAACCAGCTGCAACTTTATTCAAAAGTTTGAAAACAGCAATACTAAAAACACTTGACTGATTGTGATTTTTTTAATTAAGTCATAGATTCCTCATTATGCCACCACTGTACAGAAGCCACTTGACAGTTGACAATTTGATCTTCAATACTCAATAATACAAGAGGCAGCGAAGCATACTGATAAACAGCAGTCTGGATAACTTTACACCAAGATAAATGTCTACAGAACAATTGTGCTGTGAGATTTCTAGATTAAAAAGTACTACATCACATCTTCTCAGTTTTCTTTTGTAAGGTCAGTTGTCGATTCTCCACACGATGCATACACACAGACTTCCGTTCAAGTTGCCAGCTAATGAAAAGACCCTTGTTTCTTTGCCGAGATAAGTAAAAATTAACAGCAGACATATTTTTATTTAGAGTTACGCCAAAGGTACTTCACTAGGCCTGTGCATGGGTTGCTTTTTATTTTCCGAAATGATGCCCCCGCTGCGACAGTAGCACTAAAAACAACTCACTGCAATGATCAAAAGGCTTGAGGGGTTTGGAAATATATCACCAAGTCACAAGTTATCACACACATACAAGGCTGAATCCAGTAAAATCATACATTTGATTAAAGCAGCTATAATCATAAACCACTTCAGTTTGTTACAGTAGTGACCAGCACACTGCGTCCAAATTCGGATTTGATGAGTTCAAGCTTTTGCCAAAAGCTCGTTGTTGTTGCTGTTGTTGTCGTTGTTGTCGTTGTTGTCGTTGGCTGTATAGTTGAACCAGTTGATTTAAACACTTCATTTAGCAAGAAAACACTGTACAGTTATTAGGTATACATCTGAACAAAGACACGTTACTCTAAAGGTCTAACAGCTAGCAAGTTAAGAAATGGACAACAGGGACGATCGTCACTCTGCCACAGAAAATGCCATTTCAGGTTTGACGTACTCAAATGCCGTGAATCAGTTTATCTCCGTCTCATTAGAGTTTGCTTATAGTGGTGATAAATATGTTTATTTTTTTCCTATGTTGAGCATGAATCTCCTCTCATTCCTCAAAATCTCTTCACACATTTGCCACTCACTGAGTGTTGTCAGATGAAGTACAAAAATGTACATAGTTAATGGAAATTTTGGAAATAAACGGAGTCATTTTAACTTTTTTTTAATAATTTCCTCATAGAAATGTTTATATTTTCCTTATATTTATGGTGCAAGACATGTTAAAGTCTAAATGACACAGTAAAACATCATGAATTAAAAATGTCAGTAGCCCCTTATCCCATAAATGAAGATATATTGTTTTTTAAAACCTGAATTCACAGTACAAAAATATAATATGCCTTTACTAACTGGATATCATGAAGTCTATGGTAAACAGCAGACTTATGATAGTCTTTGATAATCGTGTCAAAGCGTGAGTCCTTTTCTATGAACTTGAAATACCATTTGGCACTTTGGCACACGATGTACTCACACGCTAACATAAAATAATGCAACCACTAAAGCGTCTCATGAGGATGTAAGTCAATACTTTCAGGAGAGGATTTTGTTTTCTGCGGAATATCTCTAACTTCTGCTTTATTGTGTTGAATGGCATTGTTTGGGGAAGATGACATTTACACAGTTTCCCCCGTGATGGCCAATTAGACAGCCTCTGCAGAAGTTTCGGTTGACACAGACATTGTTACTTTGGCTATTTTCACAGTGGTCTTCACGCAGCTCTCTGCAGCCCTGTTGGCAGAAATGTTGGCATTTCTGTTCTGGCAGTCTGACTCGAGGCTATTGTCCAACTGCTGGGCACTGCCCCTGCAGGCACCGCAGGAGCTGAGGAAGGCGTGCCGCAGGTCCTTGCTCCTCAAGGCGTAGATAATTGGGTTGACAGTGGAGTTGAGCAGGCAGAGCATGCTGCAGAATGCAAATACTGTCTTGATGTCATCGTCCATCCTCCAGAAGAGGTCATAGACCATGATGGCGAGCACTGGACCCCAGCAGATGACCAGCACCACCAGGATAAGCACCAGGGTCTTGGCCAGACGGATGTCCATTCGTGTCTGCTCAGGGCGTGTGGTCTGCACTTTAGTCCCATCTGCTGAGTAAACAACAAGGCTCTTCTGAGAGGTGCGGCTCAGCATTCGCACTGCGTGGTGGTGAGCTTTCCACAGGATGTATATGTAGGCGTAGATAATGAAAAGAACCAGAACGCTGGTTACACCGATCCAGAACAACAGGTAGTTCTCATCAATCAGAGGGAATATGTCTGAGCAAACAGAATTGAGACGTTTACAGTTCCAGCCCAGCAGAGGTAGCACTGCGATGACAATGGAGATGGTCCACATCATACAAAAGGCAATGACAGCCTTGGTCCGTGTCACAATCCGCCTATAGGCGAGAGGCCGGTGTATGGAGATGTAGCGGTCAATAGCGGTGAGGAAAAGGCTCCCCACAGATGCAGTGAACGACGCAGTGACTCCACCCAGCTTGAAGAGAAAAACGTTGGGGCTGTCCTTCCTGTGAAAAACATGGAAGTCCAGGAAGCTGTAGACAAATATGACACTTCCCAGCAGGTCAGCCACAGCCAGACTGCCAATGAAGTGGTAGGATGGCCGGCAGCGGAGTGTGCGGGACTGAAAGATGACGCAGAGAACCACCAGATTCTCCAGCACTGTGAAGGTACCCAGAGTCAGAGACATCACAGCCACAGCCAGCTGCTGGCTGGGAGTCAGGATCATGAAACACTCCATGTCCATAAAGTTCTCCCCACATTGCACATTGTTAGTCTCATCTCTGAATGTGCTCTTGTTGCCGAACAAGTCTGTGGCGTTGGTGGGGAAGAAGGGGATGCCTTTAAGGATGAGCTCCTCGTCCGCAGGTACCTTGTTAGGGAAGGAGTTGCTGCGGAAAGCAGATAAGGGCTTCTGCAGAGAGAAACCTGCCTTGAAGTCTACATCATTGAGCGGGTCGTCATAGTTAGCGTCGTTGGAGCCCAGATACTGTAAACCAGATGTAATAGTCCGGAAGGTGGTGTCCGCCACACCGTCCAGCACAGATTTCATGGCTGTGTCTGAGGGTAATACTGCAGTCTAAGATGCCTGGACAACCTAAAAAAATTGATGACAGACATTTCAGACATGTTTGAAAAACCTAAAAAACAAAAAAGAATATTGACAGGAATATTTGCAGCCGTTGAAATGCTTTTAACATAATATAACCTTCACATAATGCAAATATTTCTATAAAATATTTGGATATATTATGAATAATTGATAGTTTTTTACAGCTGTAGATGGGTTTTTATACATCTACTGTTTCTGAGAGCTGGTGTACTTATAAATACTGTATCATGCTCCCTGTATCTAACAACACATACCCAATTATTCATCACTGAGCGCTTACTTTTCAAGAACAGGGAACCTACTTATAAAAAACAAGAAACATGAGGCTAAAAATTAAAACGGCCCTTTTTCTCTATGAGGTGCAGAAGCAGACAATACAAAAATGCAATTCATCTACACCTGTACAGAACAGAACACGCACAGCTTATCACCTCTATGTAAAACAATGCACAGTATATGCATGCTCAAATGTTGGTAGTCTGATTTACTGTAAAAGGAAAGAGGTGGCCTCTATAACGGCGAGATAATTGCGAACACATAATTTAGATATATACAGAATTTAGAGTTATTTTATTATTAAGCTGTTTATTAAGTATCTATGCAAGAGTTGTACGTTTATTGATAATCTGGTGCAAGAAGCAGACATGGATGCAGGAATCCGCACAATACAAAATAAAAAAGAAGGAACACTGATACTTTCATGCTGGGACAAACAACACAAAGCATTTAAAGTGCTAATAAAAGCGAGAAAAAACATTTAAAGCTGCAAATTATTTCAACATTTAAAAGAAGAAAAGTGCCTCTTTACCTTACATAATTTTTTCCAAGTGCGCAGAATCGTCCTTTATCACCGCGCGTTAATCCAAGTCAGAAGCGCATCATCCAACCAACACAGATCTTACATAAAAGGAGAGACAACCAGCGCACTGTTAGAATTAAACCATTATTAGAATCATAATTATTAGTGTTGTTTTTTGTTTCAATTTCTATATGTATGATAAGTTTTTTAAATGTCTGTAGAAGTGGTCTGGTCGCCCCTTGGAGTGCGCTCCTGCTTTGTGGATACAGGTTGTTGCTGCTGCTGCTGCTGCTCCAGCGTCTCTCCACTCTTTTTCTCTGAGTCTTCACACTTATGAAGCTTCGCTCCTACAAGCCCTGTCACGTGTTTCCATAGAGCTGCCCAACCCATGAAGCTGTCAAGTGCGCTGCACAGGAACAAGGGAGACGACTGTGGTGGTGGTGGTGGAGGCTTATATATAAATTTAAAAAAAATAATCTGATTTGAATTCCCAGAGCTCCAAAGAGCAGACGATGCGCTCGGACAAAGAACCATCATCAGCACAGGACAGAGCACATAAAACTAGATTAACAGCTTAGAATAACAGTCTTATCTTCCTAATTCACGAGGAGATTGTGAACACAATTTCAACATCTTGCAGTAAAAAATCTCTCCTGTTAAATCTCCACATGACCTTCTGCTGTTTTTTTTTAGAAGGTTCTCCTTTTCTTATTCACGCACTGAGACGTAGATGGAGGCTGCAGACTTCATTGATAGTCGGTGCATGTCTGTTTATTGTGTGAATAATTAACCAAAATTGAGAATCTCAAAGAACAGAAAGCAGACGTCACCATTGTGATGTTGGCTGAGCTGAAACCAGACACCCTTTCATGTATTTCCCCCCTTTAACAATAATAGCTGTTTTTACTTTGTACCTTTCAGGTTCTTTACTTTTCTGATCCAAACCAACAATTTTGAGTACTTAAAGAGAATCTGTGCTTGTATTTGGATGAAGATGCAAACATATTACAGTCCATCCAGGAACAATTAACGCAAATTTAACTAATCCGGGAATTCTGCTTGACTTTGCAAATTTGTTTAATCACTGCAAATTTTCCGCAAATTAGAAAAATCTTTGTAGTTTCCCACAAGTTTCAGTTACCACAGATTTAGAATGAATTAAAAACTACAAACTATTTTTGCAATTTCACTTTCTCCTGCAACTTCATTGCAACATTCACAATCTTTTTGGAAAAGCTGCTGTGAAATCAGACATTTTAGCCCTCAAAAATCCCAGAAAAAGCCCACAAAATCCTGGAGGACCTGATATTAGGCAGCCAATACACTTAAAAATAAAAACTCTCCCCTCAGGATAAAACCAGCTAGTTATCAGCACATCCAATCCGATTACACACCGCCAAATTAACAAATCAGATCCTGCTATGAATCACAATAACAAATGTGGCCTTTGCTTAGCCTTAATAAAAACAGATTCAGTTCACTGATTATAAATAATCTAATTTCCATTTATTCATTTGGCCGCATAAAACATCTCAGTGATGTTTTTTTTATCTTCTTCCTCTTCACACTGTCTTACACAATGGCAAAATCAGTGATCTAGGCCAAGTAGGAAGGACCTGAGTGGTTGCATTGCCATGTGACATTTTGCAGCCACAGATCATGGAAACCTTGTTGTGCTACTGAAACGAGGCTCTGTCATCATCACAGGTGTAATTACTAATATTGCTCAGCTATGGCTGTTGTCTCAGTCTGAAATGAACAAAATGAGAAGATGTTTATGGTCGGGAAATGACAGAAATGTATAAAAAACATAGATGTTCAGGAGTTTTAGGCTCATATTTCTGTGCATTTATTTCAGTTTTTTGGCTAAACTGACTGCTGGCCGTTTGTCAGTGTAAACAGCAGAGTTACTTGCAAAATCTTCTCCAAGCTAATTCTCATCAATCTTTTGGCAAACTGAGAAAGAACACATTAGTTACAGTCATGATCTGCTGGACTAGATACAGATCAACGCTGAGCTCCTCAAACAGATTCAAACCTGAGAGCGGCCCGAAATAAAAGCCCTCTTCCTTGTATTAGCTATAGCAGAGTAACTGGCAGATAAACACCTTATTCTAGGAAACATCAAAGGGCAGAGAGGAGAGAAATACAGGTTCAGTTCCTCAGCTCACGGTTTCTCGGATTGTGCAAGAGCTCGAAGTAATGATCTCCCAGTTTGCCTTTCAAACCCTAGGAGGAAAACAGCACCCTCAGAGGCACTTTCATTATTAGAGAGCATCCGTCTGTGATGCTTCAGTGCATTGTAGAAGTAATGTTTTTGATCATATGTGGTAGTTCACCTTTTCATTGTTTGTACCTTCAGTGACTTTTCTGGGAAAATCTGCAGAAAGGTCATGAAGTTGTTTCATGCAATTAGCTTCATAGGAAAGGTCCAGTTTGTGAGCCAAACAACTGTATACCGATGATTGCCACTACGTCTACTCAGGGTATCTTTTATAAGAAAATCCATATCTCTGCCACCACAATAATGGATTTCTCTGTGAATTATGAGTCAGTGTCCTAGGAAACAAACATCTCGATAGTTTAGGATCATCACTGAAGTTTTATATCACTGAAAAATAAACAATGTGGTTATTCTTCTATATGGCAACAATAGCAACGAACAGGCGCATTGAGCTAAATGCTAATATCTGCATGCTAACATGCTCGCAGTAACATGTGGATGTCTAGTGTTTACAATCATAGTTCATCGTGTTAACATGATAAAATTAGCTAATTAGCACGAAACATAAGCTGCGGCAGATGGGAATGTAATTATATTAGCATAATTCAAAGTGTTGAAATTGAAAGTTGACCTGATGATGTTGCGAGATGAACAGTCAGGAGATCACCGAGGATTTCCAGTTGGTCCTGAGGGAGATACAATGTGAATGTCTGTATCAAATTTTGTGCCAATTCTTCGATTCATTTTCAGCTGGATAAGTTAATATTTTGACCCGCTGGGGGCGCCACAGTTATTAGGAATCAGCATCTGGGGACCAGGAAAGCATGTACAGAATGTCCTGGTAATCCATCCAGTAGTTATTCACACTGTATCCAGACATGTTCAGATGAAGAAAGACATTAATGAAAGGTGCATGGATCGTGATCAGATCTGCCTGACCAGGACATCGGGACTAAATGACACAATATTTTTTACACAAATAAAGGAATAACTTATTACATTTGCTCCTTAGTTATATGAACTTTATACAGTTTCCCTTTACTTGACAGATCATAAAACTCCACACAACTTAAGGGAGTCTGGGGCTGATTTGTCAGAATGCGTTAAAAATACCAGGTGTACATCCAAAGGCGAGATTGGAGCATTTATTAACACGTGTCCAGATAAAGACGCATTTGAATACTAATAGTGTAAATGGGGTGATTGAGATATTTCAGCTTGGACCAAAGTGGTTTGAACTGAACATTACAACAGCAACAGCAGTTCTTATGACAACTGTATATTTTTTAATGGTAGATTTCACTTGAGCTTGATGCTATTTGACAGCAGGCTGAGACGCGCAGGTTTATTTCTTACATCTATATGTAATGGCTACAGAATGCACAATTAAATATTCACATCCATTTGACTGACAACCTGCAGCAGCTAAATATGTCTCTGAAGCCTGGATACCTACAATCTTCCTGTGAGCCGTGTGCAAAATAATCTTTCATGTCTGTTTAGAAATGCAGCACCTATAAATATAATTTACATCCAGCCTACCATAAAACATCTGCAGATGTGGTTCAAACATTAGTCTAAACATAAAAAAACCTGATATGTTCCAGCTAAAATGTTGAACATAATTAGAATTTCACCAGCTTATTTTTCTGATCCCAGCTACTGAGACTTTGTAATATCCACCACATGGAGCAGTTAGACTTTAGGCAGCAGGGTGGTTTGCCAAACTGACTGGTGTACTGTGACAGTTTTCTCTGACTTGGTTGGCATGCTAACCTGTGAGTGAGCAATGAGTGATGGCTCAAGCAAAGCTCACGGCCATCTGCGTTTCAGTTGTGGTACATAACATTTTGTCCTCCAGTGACTCACTTTGAGTCCATGGATCAGAGAAAAGAGCTCAGGGGAAAAAAGACAAAAAAAGAAAACTGCATTCAGGGGGAGGAAGTCTTATGTGATCTCTATTGTAATTTGACTAACTGATTGCTATTCAGTGCTAAATGTCAGAGTCCCCAGTTTAGGTCTGTTTGGTACACTTAACTGCCACTTCGGCATATTAATATGGATAAATAGAAAGTCTCCTCCATAATCAAACAAAAGGAATTTTCTGAACACGTCTACAACGTTATTGGGTTAGATATGTCAACATTAAGGAGCAGAAACTCACACCAGTTGTTTGTGAGTTCAAACAAGGATACAAAGAGACATTTTACAGTGCAGAAAATTATAAAACAGATTAGTAAATTGTACATAAAAAAACGATGCAGCTGAGGATGAATTAGGCCGTCTCACAGCCTGAGAAAACTGATCTTCAAGTCTGTCCTGATGGCAGCAGGGTGAACAGGCTGTGACTGGGGTGGGTGCTGTGTTTTAGTGGGCTCTCGGGGCTCCGCGCAGGCACCTCACCAATATCAGTAATGCTGGGCAGATGAGTACCAATTATCTTCGGGGTGGTTTTAATCACTTGCTGCAGAGTCCTCCTATCCTGGGCCGTGCACATGTCAGTTTGAGAGTCAGTCAGGATGCTCTCTATCGCTCCTTTGGAAACGTTAACAAGAACTCGGCACAGGAATTAAATTTACTTAAGAAATAGTCGTTTTTCTGTGCTTTCTTAACCTGTGTGATTATTATGTTTTGTTCAAGCAGTGTCTATTTGATGACTTTTTCTTAGCGACTATCCTACTAAGGAAGGACTTTACTCACAAATTTAGTGAAGGATTTACAAATATCTAGTGGAGCCCAATCCAGGAGTGCAACAGGTTAAATCCATGAAGTGCTAAGTGCTTCCTTGCCTTTTTATGGCTCATATTACAGCGATGCTGGATGAGAGGCAGATAGGAGTTCACTCAGGACTCATAATGCATTTTGCACCAGTCTAATATCTTCTGTCTCTCCTGCTTGTTGTTCCACATTCAAGGCCTTTTTCAGGAAGCACAGAATCCTAGCCAAAATTCTCAGATACCTCACTAATGCATCAGCAACATCCTCATTAATACGAGAGGCCAACTAAGATTGAATAAACAAAATCTGTCTTGGATTCTCCTGGATTTTATCGATTTTGTTTCCCACCGGTATTCCCCTGATCTGAATCTTGAAACCACTG